TTCAGTACATAATCCTCTTCTGACAGCTATGGTTGCTAATACAGGTTCCACTTACACAAAAGGGGCTTCGGTTCAGTCTCAGGGTTTCTCTCCTCATCATGGTCAATCTCAGGTAGTCACTGGAGGCTTTAGACCCTATAATGGGAACAAGAACAAGGGCAAAGGTCGTTTCAATCAGGGCTCGAGATTTTATAACTCTAGACCAGTGTTTTCCCCCATGGCACATATGCTTCCTACCTCTAATCCTGGAGTTCTTGGTCCATCTCCTGGTCAACCGTTTGGTCGTCCTTCTGCACCCATGCCTCACATTTGTCAGTTGTGCAATTCTACGGGACATACTGCCCCATTCTGTGGAGCCTCTTCACATGAGCCAACAAAATGTCACATTTGTGGTCGAAGTAACCATACCACTTGGTATTGCTTCCATAATGATAAGGGTCCCAATTACATGGGAATGCATAACCCTTCTTCTGTGTTTCCACAGTCCTCATATGTTATGCAACCACCGCCTGTTCAGTATAATTCCTATCAAGCTCCTCCTCAGCATTCCTCATTCACACCTTCTCAGTTTCATGCACCGCAACCCCCTATGCAAGCCATGCACACAGTGCACAACTCTGCACCTCAGTCATCAAGTTCTTCAGGTCCTTCTCAAGTGTGGCTCACGGACTCTGGGGCCACCAATCATATGACAGCTGATTTGACTAATCTGTCCCTGGCATCACCATATCCATCAAATGAAACAATTCACACTGCAAATGAGGAAGGTTTGAAAGTATCTCATGTTGGTCATTCTACTATTCATACATCAGTTTCTCCAATCAAATTGACCTCTGTGCTCTGTGTTCCTCAATTAACTCAGAACCTGTTGTCAGTACATCGCATTTGCCTTGACAATAATTGCTGGCTTATATTTGATGCTTTTTGTTTTTGGATTCAGGACAAAACCACAGGGAGGATCCTCTACAGAGGCTTGTGCAGTAATGGGCTGTATCCTATCCACTCTTTGTCCACTTCCAATTTCTAGAAGAATAATCAAGCTAAGGCCTTTCTTAGACAACTTGTTCAATCTGATTTGTGGCACCATAGGTTAGGTCATCCATCAAATAATGTTGTCTCTCTGATGTTGCATCAATCTAATGTACCTGTTCCCAAATCCTCATTACCTATGCTATGTCATACCTGTCTAGAAGGCAAATTTAGCAAGCTCCCTTTTCCAAAGCATGTCAATAAGTCAGTCATTCCTTTTGAAACTATTCATACAGATTTGTGGGGTCCTGCACCATGTATATCAGTGGATGGTTATAGATATTACACCATCTTTATAGATGAATGTACCAGATATTGCTGGATTTTCCCTTTAATAAACAAGTCTGATTTGTTCTCTACTTTTGTTGCTTTTCATTCCTTTGTTGTTACTCAGTTTTCTGCCTCAATTAAAATTCTTCAATCTGATGGGGGGGGGGAGTATACCAGTCTCAAATTGAAACATTTTCTTCTTGACAAAGGCATTTCACATCAATTATCTTGTCCCTATACCCCTGAACAAAATGGGGTAGCTGAAAGGAAGCATAGACATATCATTGAAACCACTATCACACTGCTCCAAACAGCCAAGTTGCCACATCAGTTCTGGTCTTATGCTTGTCAAACAGCCACCTATCTCATCAATCGAATGCCTACTGTTGTCCTTCATAACCAATCTCCTTTTGAGATCCTATTTGGGACATATCCAATACTTACACATCTTCGAATTTTTGGATGTGCTTGTTTTTCCCCTTCTCAAACCCTATAATAGTACCAAAACTACAAGCAAAAACCACAAAGTGTGTGTTTCTAGGGTATGCCACAAAATATAAAGGTTATCTATGCTATCATGTGTCTACAAAGAAAGTGTTTGTTTCTAGGCATGTTATCTTTGATGAACAACATTTTCCCTACACAGATTTATTGACTGCATCTTCCAACACAGTTTCCACTGCACATAGAGTTGTATATCCATCTCCTAGTTTCAATTGTCATGCCCCTATAGTTACTCCCGAAAATAGAATTGTCTCATTTATCCCAGAATCACCTCATCAACCTTCTGCCTTGGATTTACTTGAAGTCTCTCCAAGTTCTCAGTCCATTACTGCTCCAATCCAAGTCTCTTCTCAGATCCCTGTGGTACCTGATATCAGTTCCACTTCTGCATCAGAAATACCTATTTTTAATCCTGATACTCTGTCAGTAGTGTTGCCCATTCCTCCACTTAATTTGCATCCTATGCAAACCCGAAGCAAAAGTGGGATTTTAAAAAAGAAGGCTCTCTTAGCCAGTGTTCAGGATTCTGGGGGCACTGATCTATCCTTGGTGGAACCAGCTAGTTATAAGTCTGCCATCAAAGTACCTGTGTGGTTAGCAGCCATGAAAGAAGAAGTTAATGCTTTACATGCTCAAGGCACTTGGAGTCTAGTTCACTTACCAGCAAACAAGAACCTGGTTGGCTGTAAATGGATTTTCAAGATTAAGAGACACTCAGATGGGTCTATTGCAAGACACAAAGCCGGTTAGTTGCTAAGGGCTTCAGTCAAGAACCCGGATTGGATTATGGGGAGACTTTTAGCCCTGTAGTGAAACCTACTACTGTACGGTTAGTTCTTGCTCTGGCTGCTCAGTTTAATTGGTCTCTTCGCCAGTTGGATGTTAAAAATGCGTTTTTGCATGGACTTCTACAAGAGGAGGTCTACATGTCTCAACCTCCAGGTTTTGAAGATCCAAATCATCCTTCTCTCGTGTGTAAGCTGCATAAATCTCTCTATGGTCTCAAGCAGGCTCCTCGGGCCTGGAATGACCGCTTTACTCAGTTTCTTCCTTCTTTGGGATTTGAGAACACATATTCTGACTCATCTCTATTTGTTAAGCATGTTGGTCATGAAATTGTGGTGTTGCTTCTCTATGTGGATGACATCATTATAACTAGCAATGCTTCTGATGCAATTACACAGGTTATTAGTGCTCTCACCACTGAGTTTGATATCAAGGACTTAGGCCTACTCCACTACTTCTTAGGGATTCAAATCACTAAGACTGCACATGGTTTGTTCCTGTCCCAAACCAAATATGTTGAGGATTTGTTGGTTAAATCTGAAATGATTGAAGCCAAACCGTGTGATACCCCATGTCTTCCTTACAACAGGTTATTGAAGGAGGATGGGGAACCTTATTCCAATCCTACGTTGTAATCGAAGTCTTGTAGGAGCTCTTCAATACTTGACTTTCACACGGCCTGACATTGCTTTTTTCTGTGCACCAAGTGTGTCAGTTCATGCAGAATCCAATGGTGTCCCACTTTACTGCGGTTAAACGCATTTTAAGATATCTGAAGGGCACAATGCAGTTTGGTATATCATATACTAAAGGAGATTTGCAGTTGAAGGCTTTTAGTGATGCTGATTGGGCAGGGGACCCTAATGACAGGCGATCTACTACTGGTTTGGTGGTTTTTTTGGGTAATAGTCCGATTTCCTGGTCCTCTAAGAAGCAACAAACTGTTTCTCGATCCTCAACCGAAGCTGAGTACCGAGCTTTATCGTTTACATCTGCTGAGTTGGATTGGATCAAACAGTTGTTAGTTTTTCTGCACATTCCCTTACCTAGTGTGCCTGTCCTCTTTTGTGACAATCTGTCAGCCATTGCCTTGTCTTTCAACCCTGTCCAGCATCAAAGACCAAGCACATCGAAGTCGACGTCCATTTTGTTCGCGAAAGGGTCTCACAGAAACAACTATCCGTGCAATTTTGTATCTTCTCAAGAGCAGTTTGCCGATATTCTTACCAAGGGCTTGAGTGGTCCTCTTTTCCGAACTCATTGCCGCAATCTCATGCTTGGTTCATCACCGCATGTTCTTGAGGGGGGATGTTAGAGTATAGTGTTTTAATATTGTGACACTTGTCACAATCCTAGTATAGTTAGTTAGTTAGCTGTTATATGTAATAGTATATATATAAGAACTCATCATGTAATTACTTAATCATTAAGAAATACAACAGATAGTTCTTCTCTTCCTAAACTTCTCTCTAGTCTCTCTTTCTTTCTTCTCTGTTCTTGATTCAGTATACAAGATTACAGTATATGTTAATCATCTGATATAGGTTAACAGTTTTTCACTCAAGTGCTACAATTACCATTGCAGTACAAGTTTGGAATGTTTATGCCATGCTAAGATGAAACCAAGTGTCCTGTAAAATCTTTTAGAAACATTAAGCATGCTACGTCGAGACATCCAACGGCTATCAACCAAGAGCAGTACATGAACAAGGCACCAAGGTTTCTTGCCTTGTCTAAAAATGAGACAAAATAGTACCATATAAATCCGTACTTGTTCTGTAACAACAGTCTTGGCACAGCACCAGCAGGCTTCTCATATTGAAGTTTTCATAAATCACATTCACATTGAAAGGATGCATACTTACGGAATCAATAGCAACACTGAAACGAACTTTCCCTTGTCCAGCCAATCCCGTGGGCACAGGACCAAGCAGAAATGCACAACTAAATACTATGCTTTTCCATTTACTAAGTAAATTCTCTACTTTTCATTTCAATCTTAACCAAACAGATGGAAAGCATGGAAATTGGCTTAAATGATCACAATTTACATTTCAATTGATCAACTTATCAAAATTAAATAAGAGGTAAGTTCAAATTTCACGAAGAAGAGTTCGATAGTCATTTTTCCCTCATCTTATTTATGATCAGCAATGAACGAAAAAACTTAGTAAATAAAAGTTGAATAGAATCAACTAAATACTATGCTTTTCCAATTTTATATATGTTAGTAAATACATAAAAAAATTATTTAGTGAACACAAAAAACCCAATAATCAAAATAATTCCAATACCTAATAACATGCCTAAACGGCTAAACCAATATATTATATGGGATTAGAAATTCTAATTAATTGCGTATTAGTTTCGATAAAATTAATATGTGTTGCGTAAAAAGTTGTCACTTGCATTGAAAAATAATAAAAATGAGATAACTCACGTGCAATGAGCATGCACAGCTAAACCCCTCCAAAACCCCAATTCAAAGAAAGAAAGAAAAAAACCACCCCTCCACCGCCAAAACTCGAGAGAACCACCCCCTCCACCACCAAGCTCCTCTCCAAAATGAACCAAAACTCGATACCACCACCCCCTCCACCACCAAGCTCCTCTCCAAAATGAACCAAAACTCGATACCACCACCCCCTTCGCAACCACCATCCAACTCCGACCCCCGCATATTCCACGCTCGTTTCATTACCACCGCAAACGTCGACCGCTCTGTTCTCAACAACCTCATCACTCTATACTCCAAGTCCAATCTCCTCTCTTACTCTCTTCGCCTCTTCCACCAAATCCCATCTCCCAATGTGGTCTCATGGACCGCCGTGATCTCCGCCCACACCAACACCCTCTTCGCCCTCCAGCACTTCGTTTCCATGCTCCGCCACCCCACCTTCCCCAACCAGCGCACCTTCGCTTCCCTCTTCAAAACCTGTGCTTCTCTCCCTTCTCTCTCCTTCGGCCTTGCCCTCCACTCCCTTTCGGTGAAGCTCGGCGTCTCTGCGCAGCCCTTTTCCGGGTCCGCCCTTATTAATTTTTACTGCAAATGCCGCTTGCCTGTTGATGCCCGCAAGGTGCTTGATGAAATTCCTCAGAAAGACGAGGTTTGTTATGGGGCGGTGGTGGTTGGGTTGGCGCAGAACTCGAAACCCATTGATGCGCTGTCTGCTTTTGCTGACATGAAATGTTCTGATGTTAGGTCTACTATGTATAGTGTTTCGGGTGCACTTCGTGCTACAGGGGAGCTTGCTGTGTTGGAGCAATGTAGGATCATACATGCTTATGCTGTTGTTACTGGACTTGATTGGAATGTGATTGTGGCGAGTGCTTTGGTTGATGCGTATGGGAAAGCTGGGCTTGTATCTGATGCTAGACAGGTTTTTGATGAGAATTTTCCGAGCATGAACGTAGTGGGGTGGAATGTGCTGATGGCGGCATACGCACAACAGGGGGATTGGAACTCAACGCTTGAGATTTTCAATGCAATGGAAGCTCAGGGGCTTGCGCCGGATGAATATAGCTTTTTGGCAATCTTAACTTCATTTTGCAATGCAGGTTTGGTTTCTGAGACTCACAGGTGGCTGAACCGGATGAAGGAAGATTATGGGTTGGAACCAGCGCTTGAGCATCATACATGTTTAGTTGGTGCAATGGGACGGGCTGGGCAACTGGAAGAGGCAGAAAAGGCTGCACTGACAATGCCATTTGTGCCAGACGCTGCTGTGTGGCGATCATTGCTAGCAAGTTCAGCGTATCATAAAGCGCCTGATTTGGCTAGGTCCATGGCTAAACGGTTATTGGAAATTGACCCACATGATGATTCAGCTTATGTAATTGCTGCAAATGTGTTATCGAATGCTGGAAAATGGGATGAAGTTGCAGAAGTGAGGAAGATGATGAAAGATAGGAGGGTAACGAAGGAAGGTGGGAGGAGTTGGATCGAGGTACGAGGGAAAGTTCATGTGTTTTTTGCTGGGGACAGAAGGCATGAGAGAAGGGATGAGATTCGTGCTAAATTGGTAGAATTGATGAAGGAGATAGAGAAGTTAGGATATGTGCCATTCTGCGATGAGATGTTGCATGAAGTCGGGGAAAGGGAGAAAAAGGAATCCCTTTGGTACCACAGTGAGAAGTTGGCAGTAGCATTTGCAGTGGTGAGTGGTGCGGCACCACCAGGAAAGCCATTAAGGATTGTTAAGAATTTAAGGATCTGCAGGGATTGCCATGAGGCCTTCAAGTATTTCTGCAGAGTGTTGGAGAGGGAGATTATTGTGAGGGATTTAAACAGGTACCATAGATTTGTAAATGGTAGTTGTACTTGTGGCGACATATGGTAGCTTGGTTTATGCCGATTAATATAATGCTCCCAAAGTTTCTGCTGGACAGAAACTCAGCCACTCAAGGTGGAGGGAAACTTGTGTAGAACTGTCATACTGCCTCAAATGATGCAGGATGAAGTTACTGCTAGCATGCCAATAGGATGAAGTTTTTACTTTGAGAAGGTAGGAGTCGGAAGGGAAAAGGATAATGTCGGTGCAGCGGCCTCTTCTCGAAATGCAAGGAGTTGCGAGGAGGCTTCCGGTCATAGGCATTAAGGGAAGGGATATTCCTTGTTAAACAGCAGAGCGACTGAACGGAAAATTATGTTTTCTCGTGTTTTGTTTTTCTCTCAAAAATTTTTGGCAAGACAAAGGATGAATAAAACATTCACAGAGATGAAACATTTTGTACTATTTGATGGTTTAAGATGGCAGTCTGCAAAAAAATAGCAAAAAGACGCAGTCGAGCGACATACACCCGTTTCATCTAAGTTATTTCCGTGAAGGGTCCTTTGTGATGGCATATGCCAGGAGGACTTGGTTAACCCGTAGTAGAAGTGCTTCCTACAAAAGCAATCTCAATCGAGCCTTGAAAACGTAACCTAACTTCTTCACCTTATTTGCCTATACATTCATCTCTCTGTTTTAACTTGCAACATTCCACTAAGCATGCCGAACAAATGACGGTTAGATGTGCGGTCACAGATTCATCGAACAAATCCGTTCATCAATAAAAATTAACATCCATAAACAAAACTAACATCCATAAAAACTACAATTTAACACAAACAAAAAGTGAAAAAGAAAAGGCGACCAACGGAGAGGAAGAGCCTCCGTGAGGAGCTGAGGGAGAGCGGAGGTCAGGGTTTACGTTTTCAGTTGAAGGCGGGAGGAGGGGGAGGAGAACCGAGGATGCTGGCCTGCTGCAACTCCAACTCGTTGAACTGCTGCTCACGATCCATGGCGATGATGAGTGGCACCCCCAAGATCAGGAACGTCGTTCCCAATATCCACGCCGCCTTCCCCGTGCTCTTCGCCAGCTTCTTCGTCACCGACGACGCGTCGATCGCCACGCGCTTCGTCTGCTGCACGATCTCCGATTGCGACACCCTCGAAAGCATGCTCTGTTCTTCGCCGTTGCTTCGGAGCGACAGTCGCTTTCTCCCCTCTGACGCCATTCTTTGATTTCCTTGTGCTGTGTGCTTGTGTGTTTGTGAGAAGGAGGTTTTAGGTTCGGAGTTTTTAGGGTTTTGGAAGCGTTGCAATTGGCGATCGACCAATCAATATTAACGGGCCTTATATTTCAAGCGGGCATAAGACCCAATATATGGAGTTTATCAATGACAAAAGGCCAACAAAGGCCCATTAAAATTTAGTAATTTTGTTTTGTTTTCGTTTCAAGGGAAGTAATTCGCTATGCGAGCGGTTAGTTTTTCACGGATTAATGTTTATTTATTGTCATCATATTGAATAAATCAAATGGCATTAACGGTTATGATTGAACAAGAGTGTCTAAAATGCTAAAAATAGCATATGAAAATCCCTTTCCTTTTTATACAAGAATATTCTACTCTAATAATACGGGAAAGTAAGTCCAAATCTCATGAAAGACAATTTTTTTGCACTAGTAAGTGTACTTGTAACTATAAATGAGAAGTGAATGACAAGTTTAGTCCCACCCCTTAAAATCCTAACAAACATCGTTGTATAAAAAATAAGATAAATTGAAAAATAAAATTACGATTTCATGATATTCACAACTATCAATGTTTATGGAAAAATTCAATTAAGAACCAAAAAAAAAACCGCTTTTATAAACAATGATATTTGTTTATGCATAAAATTGGGTAAATTTTGGAACATAAAATGTCAAAGTTGTGCTCTTCACGTGGTTGCTCCGGTGATTTAAGTGAAAACAAATATATAGATAAATAGAGATAGTAAAACAAACACAAGATATACGTAGTTCACCCTAAGTTTGGCTACGTTCAGGAGGGTAGAGAACAATGATGTTGGGGAAGATTTTATTCAGTGACTCAAAAAAATTCTCAGTAAATAAAACTGCGAAGAAACTTACCTTAGGCTCAGGGTATAATAAACTTGTCATGAAATTAATCCACAAGTATGAAACCTCTCTTTATATATTCAAAACAAGAGAATATGGTTTCCTTGTACCTTCTTATTCTCCTTTCTGCTGTTGTGTAGTTTGTTTGTTAGCCTCTTTGTTGGCTTTCGTGTTCCTGTTTGGCATCTTTGCCCGATTATGAAAAATCTGTTTGCCAAAAAAAAAAAAACAAGAGAATGGTAAGTTTAGTACATTTTCCAATTCAAAGCATTTGGATATCAGAGCGTCCATGATCACATCGCTGTTGCTATCCCCACCCTTAACCCTAAAACCTCTGCATACGACCAGAGACGAATTGCACACCCACGGGACTGAAACTGTAAACCCCAAACCAGAATCTTTCCCTCCCACTACCACATTCTTGTATGCCCGGCAAACCCTCAACACGTACTTCCCCATCGGCAAAGTTTGCTGCAGAACGGATGGAGCAGAGCCGTCAGGGTCCAAGATATCAGAATCTGAATGAAGGTTCACCACAACTGTGCCATGATCCCGGGTGAAGCCGGCTGCTGAGGGCTTTTAGAAATGGGGAATGTGGATCCCATCACTTGCGAGGGAAGATAGCCTCCCCATCACAAGCATCAACGAAGACCATATCATACTGATTGGTGGTGTTGAGAATGAAATCCTCAGCACCGGATTCATAGAGGAACAGCCTCTCGTGGATGCCTTACCACATTACCTTATCCATGGTATTGGGTGACACAGCATGCTTGCCTGATGGAGTCATAATTGAGAAAGCCGGAAATCCCATGGCTCGAACCGAGGCTGAGATAACAAGAGGGTCGATTTCAACTACGTCAACAACAGCACCTGAAAAGGAGCAGAACATTCTAAGTTAGGTTCAATACCCAATTGTTCAGCTCAGGACTTCTGATAGGATGTCCGAAAACACATTGAATTTGGAGGTAAAAAAGAATCAGCAATTACGAAACAACTTACAAAAAAGGCATATCCTTCATTCCTTCTATTTCCCACAACCATTCACAGTGCCATTAACAGAAAACTAGCAATGTAACCTACCTTGCATTTTACTAGCCAAAAACAATGGTAAGCTTCCGCCACCCTGACCAATGCACAATATACGCATATTTTCAGTCCCACTCACCGTGTCCATGAGATTGTAATTACAGGATGCTATGGTAGCCAACCCAGCTGCCACCATACTCTTAAGAGCTGAAAAAGCAGGACCATCACACAAAAGCATTAATCTTTTCGAAAAATCAAAGTAACCAAATGTGTGCAATCATTAGTTTCAAATTTCATTCAACATGACCAAATGCTAATTAGAAATTCAACTGCGTATTAACTTAACGCAAAACCCACATCAAATTTCATGCATTTGTAACCAAATGTCAGATGGAAACTGAATGGGAACTAAAATTGAAAAGGGGAAATGGGTTTTGCTTAAATGGAACAGCCAAGCAATGGGGCTGCTGCATAAGGGCGATCGACTCGGGTTCCGATCGCCTGAAGGCAGCCAAAACCTTGGCAGTGCTCTGGCGGGTGTCGTCGTTGAAGCGGAGAGCGCGCCATTGATATCCTAGCACTCTGAATCTCTCGTTGTGCTGACGGCACTCGTGTATCTCTTCGTACCTTTGCTGCAGCCATCTCTCCGTCGACGCCCAGTGAAGCACGCTGGGTTTTGAGGAAGGGTAGGTGACGACGGAGACGACACCGTTGCCCTTGTCGGATGTGGAGCGGAGGACGGTGTGGCCTTCGGATTTTTCCCCCCACCACTCCGAGGCGTAGAGAGCTTCCGGATGTTGAGTCCCGAGCTCAATCCAGCTCTGCGCCACATGGCCGTAGGTAGTGAAAAACAGCCCGCCCCTCTTCGGTGGTTTTTAACAACTCGGGGTTTTAGAGTTTAGTTCTTGCATCATGGGTGGCCGACATTTGTGATAGGCATGCTGGGACTTGTTGATTTTTAGATACGACGGTGATTTGCGTTTCACCGTGCTAATCTCTTAAAAAAGTGTGTGTGAGAAAGAAGCCGCATTTCGTTTTGGATAGAGCCAAGCCTCTAGCAACTTCGAAAAGTACATGTATATGGAACGAAAAAGGGGAAGGGAGGAGGCCGCATCATCTGGCAATAAGCTGGTTGATGGTGCGACGAAGAAGATGAGAAATGGCTTGTCTCAATTCCAATCAGATGCATCGATGAGGGCTGAGAAGAAGCAACTCGTTCCAAGGAAGAAAATCCACATGAGGATGTTGTACTATGAAAAGCCTGGTTTGGATGTTGTTCTATATATATATAAAGCAAAGTTTCAAAGAAACGAGACCATAATAAAAGATCTCGTTGAGCAACAGCCACCATTAACATTCCTTCTTGCGCCACAATGCTGGCAAACACTAGTAGTACTAGTGCATTGCTATAGTACTTGTAAGCAAGGTCTAAAATATCGATGATATCTAAAATATCGGTAGTCCAAAAACACGGAAATTTCGATGGAAATATCGGGATATTATCGATATCGATAAAAATTGAATAAAAACCACGGAAATTGTAAGAAAAACTTGGAAATTTTTATTGAAACTTTGCATGATGTTTATTTAGTCAATTATCTATTAGTTTCTCACAAAAAATTGGAAGGAAATGCATTGCATGATGGATTTAACTAATTTAAGTTGATTATATAACGAGCTGGCAAACATTGTGAGTGTAGAAAATATGTAGTAATTAATTAAAGAAGTTTAAACACACCATAATCATTTATATATAATGAATTAGTACAATATTTTACACTTTATACATTGCATGGTAAGATACATGAGTGACTTAGTACCACATAGAGTTCCTATGAGGTTCAAAATTTTCACTATCTTCATCATCTCTGTGTAGAGTAAGTGTAAAATGGGAGGGGTTCGAATCCCCTTGGTGTAGAGTAAGTGTAAAATGTTAGGTTGAAATACAAAAGTACCCCTAACCTAAACATATGAGGATACTTTTACCCTGCATCTTTCTCGATTCCCAATCAGTTCCTGCGTTTTCACTTGAGCGCCGGCAGCAGCTCCTCAAAGAAACCCTAACCCTAACCCCCAAATCTCTCTATCCACGACGCATGCACCCCTCCTCTAATGGCGAAAAAACGGAAGCTTAGCTCCTCTGAGCCCTCCAAACCCACCAAAAAGCAACAAGTCGTAGTTGAGGCAAGGTTCTAAAAAACGCTAGGCGCTAGTTAGGCGGTGCGCTAGCGCCTAGGCGGGGTCTAGGCGGGTGTCTAGGCGGCCTAGGCGGATTTTGGTAAATTTCTTATATATTTTATGAATTAATTAAATTTACTATATCAAATGTAAATAATTATTGACTAATATGTTATTTCTTTTATAAAAACATACATATGTAAATGTTTTATGTACATATATGATATGCTTGCCTAAGAAAAAAAAATTATCTAAATAATTTATAATTTATATAAAATTTATACACACACACACAATATATATATATATAACAAACTTTTAAAACTATAAAAAGCACACTATGTGGTGGTTTTTATTATTAAAACCATCAACCCATCCACCACACCTTTGCTCTTTCACATCAAATGTCCACCTTGGGTGGTTTTCATTATTAAAACCATAGAGTCCATGGTTTTCATAATTAAAAACCATCAGCTTTTGACCTTGGATTTGATATCCCAGTCCGCACCACTACATTTGAAATGTTTATCTCTCTCTCTCTCTTTCTATTCGCACTCTCTCCCAGACGTCCCAGTCCGCACCACTTTCTTCACAGCTTCTCTCTCTCATCCACTACATTTGAAATGTTTATCTCTCTCTATCTCTCTCTATACTTCAATATCAATTGCATGATGAAAGGATTATCATTGTTCTCCATCGTCTTCTCCGCCTAATTCCCCATCTTCTTGCCCTGCAAAATTTCCCAAAACCTAGTCTAACGCAGCAAAGATCCTCGAAAACGTTGATGGCTCTGGTGAAGAAATCCGAAGAGTCCAGGTCAAAATTTTCCTTTTTTTTTTCCAGCAACTGCATTGTTATTCCTTCTAATGGTCTCTCTCTCGCTCTTTCTTCCCTCACACTCTCTCGCTCTATCTCTCTTTCAGATTTTATGTTGTCGCCCTCCTCTTCTACGCTGCCGATAACCACGGCGACGTGGCGGATCGAATCCGAAAGGTTGCGGATGAGGACCCAATCCACCACAAGATCTTCGTCCATGGTCTCGGATGGGACACCAACGCCGAAACCCTAACTGGTGTGTTTAAGGAATTGCTCATTTTGATGGGTCTGAGCGTGGATTGCAAAGAGAGACGCAGATCTTGGCAGTTGCGACGACGGAGCCTTGGCGATATTATCGATAATATCGCGATATATTGACGATAATTAAATGGATAAGTGTGAAAACATCGCCCTCTTTAAAAAATGATATTATCGGCGATATTTTAGACCTTGCTTGTAAGCCATTTATCCAAGTTTCCTTGAAAGCGCTTGTTACTTGTTTGATGTTTATATATAGAGTAATGTTATTTTACCACAATTTTATACCACATTTTTTTACCATCTTAGGTGGCAGATGAGTTTGACAAGCTACATTGTAACATCCCACATCGCCTATGGGAGTGATCCTTAAATGTATATTCTCATCCTTACCTAGCACGAGACCTTTTGGGAGCTCACTGACTTATTGTAACATCCCACATCGCCCAGGGGAGTGATCCTTAAATGTAGTTTCCTATCCCTACCTAGAACGAGGCCTTTTAGGAGCTCATTGGCTTCGGGTTCCGTAGGAACTCCGAAGTTAAGTGAGAAGGAGACCAGAGCACTCCCAGGATGGGTGACCCACTGGGAAGTTGCTCATGAGTTCCCAAAAACAAAACCGTAAGGGAATGGTAAGCCCAAAGCGGACAATATCATGCTACGGTGGTGGAACGGGCCTGGGATGTGACCAATGGTATCATAGCCAATCCCTGGCCAGAAGTGTGCCGACGAGGACGTCGGGCCCCTAAGGGGGGTGGATTGTAACATCCCACATCACCCAGGGGAGTGATCCTTAAATGTAGATTCTCATCCCTACCTAGCACGAGGCATTTTGGGAGCTCCCTAGCTTCGAGTTTCGTAGGAACTCCGAAGTTAAGCGAGAAGGAGGTCAGAGCACTCCCATGATGGGTGACCCACTGGGAAGTTGCTCATGAGTTCCCAAAAACAAAACCGTGAATGAATGGTAAGCCCAAAGAGAACAATAACGTGCTACGGTGGTGGAACGGACCCAGGATATGGTGGCCCCAGGCCGGGATGTGACATACAACATTTAATTTCAATATTTTTATTAATTAAAACACTTAAATAATCTTAGGTGACAGAAGAAGACTCATCATATACCACAATCATCATTTAATTAATTATTGATTAACATTTTGAAATTAAATGCTAATTAATTTAGATGATGTGGCTATCCACATCAGATGCCATCTAAGGTGGTATACAATTGTGATACAAAAATAATTTGTTTAATTTCAGAAATAGTATAGTATCCATGTTCAATTTTAGAAATAATTTGTTTAAGAAATAGTGTAGTATCCATGTTTAGTTTCTATCAAAAAAAAAAAAAAAAAAAACAGCTTAAATATATAAACTGACGCGCGGGATTCGCGCGTCCACAGATACTATTTATGAAACTCAACAGTACTACATTGTTTATAAAACTTAACGGTACTACACTATTTATGAAACTGAACGGTACTATACTATTTATGAAACTGAACAACATTTATGAAACTGACAGGTACTACACTATTTATGAATCTGAACGACACTATACTATTTATAAAAATGAACAGTATTACACTATTTATTGGTCTAGATTCATAAATAGTGTATACTTCTTGGTTCACTTTCATAAATAATACCTAGTTATTGAATCATGTTTCATAAACAGTGTATAGTAATTGATACAGTTTCAGAAATAGTGCCTCATTCTTGGTCCAGTTTCATAAATAGTGTCTAGTTTTTTGTCTACTTTCATATATAGTGCTTAGTTCTTGGTCATGTTTCATAAATAGTATCTAGTTCTTGGTCCAGTTCCATAAATAATGTATTGTAAACGATACAATTTCATAAATAATGTCTCTTTCTTGGTCCAGTTTCATAAAAATTGTATATAGTAAATGGTACAGTTTCATAAATATGTCTATTTCTTGGTCCAATTTCATAAATAGTGTCTCTTTCTTGGTTCAGTTTTAAATATAGTGCATTCTCCAGTTTTTTTACCTTCACTCAGCAACAACCTGCAAGTTCAAAAAACCAAAAGTATATTGAAAGATAAAAATCTACCTATGTGCAAATAAATCAAGTGAATAATCATTAATCACAAATCTGAAATGCAAATAAATCAAGAGCATCATTTCTTTGCTTTTCATGCTCATTAAAATATACCTATAACCCTGCATTGTTCATTAAAATATTAATTTCTTAGAGGGCTATAAGGCCAAAGAGAGCCATATGGCTCTCATTAGGTTGGAGATGGCATCAGTGCCATCTTGGCTTTTCCTTTTCAATATCCCCTTCCTCGTCCTTCGAAGATTCTTCTAAGTCCTCAATAGCTTGCATGTCGGCAAGGCTCTTCGCTACCGTTTGAGCAACCACAGCTTCCTGCATCCAAAAATCGCCACTTCACAAACCGAACCACAATATGCAGTAAATCTACACTTCCATTTGGACTAAAAACATATATCTCTACATAATTTATAAATAAACTGCCACAAACAAATAAAAACATATACTTGTAATCAGATTATGACACCAAACTCTTAATAACTTAAACCTACTTTGAGATTCGCAATCTAAAATGGTTAATTAACTCCGCAATTATCAAAAACCACAAAAAAAATCATCCACTAATCAACATTTCCCAAACTTATAAACCCCAATTTCCAATTGTTGACCCTAAAAACTACCAAGCCTACGTGGTGCGCAGGCCGAGTAACTAATGAGCTAACTATGTCCTTTGGTTGTATGCGGGCGTGCCAACTCGTCGGCCGAGCTCGACCGAGGAGTAAAATGTGTTGATGTTGCATTGGGTGCACTGCTAACTTCTGAATCTCGCGATTGCGGCCGAGGAAGGAACACACCTCTGCCTTCGGGTTCTAGAGCCTGAAGACAAGGCTACTAGTTCTGCGAACTTCACAAATCGTCGGCGCCGGATTCTGTCACAGTGATTATATTCGTAAAAGTATAAGCACGCCGAATCGACACCAGAATATAGAGGCACAGATAATCAAAATAGATATATGTCTTGATGGTAAATGTGATGGTAATCGTAAGAGTATAAGCACGCCGAATCGACACCAGAGTTCAGAATGCCGAACTCTAAAGCCTACTCGTGAGTATCCAATCATAAAACAACTCGGCGTTCAATGTGCCGAGCCCTAATAAACTGTAACACCTTACTTCGCTGAGAAGGCTAATGAGATGACATCTGCCAATAGGGATTAAAAAATCCTTCTTGACCAAGACTTGGATAGCTAACTAGTTGGCCTCAACGCAGTGTTATTTATCTAAACTGAAGGTGCTCCATGGTCGGCTGATTCTACGACAACAGTGTTGTTTATCCAAACTGAAGATGTTCGCCAATTGCCTTCACAGTGCTGTTTATCCAAACTGAAGATGTGCTGGCGAAAAAGAAACTAAAAATCTCAAGGTTATTGAGAGGTTTCGCGTAGAGCGAGGGTTTGCGCAAGGCAGTTTGTGTGTTGAATTGGAGGGGCTTGAATGATGCACTTCTCCCTCTATTTATAGTAGCCAACCTGTTTTTGATCGAATCAAAACCATACTCGGATTAGGACTCTTTCCCTCGATCTAACCTTATCTCGGCCAGTCCTACCCCTACTAGGACTTTGAACTCAACCCCTTATCAGGCCGCATTCAATCCCAAGCTTCAGCATCCTTATCCTGCTGAAACTCCTTCTTGTATCAGGATTCAACTACCCTATCCGTCCATCTCGCAATAGGACTAACCCACATCCCATGGATTCCCAATGGGACACGGCAGGCCTTGACTATGCAGCCCACGAGCCGGATGACCCCCAGTGACTCCTAAGCAAGGCCTCTAGGCCAAGAATAATTCTAAACTCGGCCTAAACATTGCCCTCTCGCTTCTGAGGTTGATCTACATTCCTTGGTCGAGCCTCGGCCTTGAAGAAGCAAAACCGACCTAAAACAAACATTAAACGCCCTCAAAAAATACCACCACGCGTACTTATGAGACATGATCTTACAACCTCGATTCTCCCAACCGTCTTGCCACGTGTCGATCCTTTGGTTAACCTAGTAGCCTTCAATCATAACCCTCGAAAACGTGCGACAGCCAAAACATCTCTTCTACATTAAATATGCCGTAACATGCAATTGTGCATCCTGAAACCGTGAAAACCTCGATCTTTTCAACTGGATTCTCTGAATATCCACAATGATTAACAACTTTCCCGCTCGATCCTTCCTCCAACTTTGAAAATCAAACGTTTAACCTTCCTTCCAAAATGCCTATAAATACCTGAACCATTTCCATTCGTACATTATGCTTTCCAAAATCCTTGAGACCTTCTCGCCATTTTGCTTTTAAAATCTCAGAAAACCTAAAATCCAAAATCCCAAAAAACCCCAAACTCTTAACCCAGAAATCCTCGAGCCTTCATCAATGGCCTCCTTCATCTTCCAGCTCTCCAACGAGTGCAACAAGTGCAAGGACTTCATCGATCGGAACGCCGTCAAGACTTTGCGCTTCGAGAGTGATTTAAACACTACTCATCAAATCATGGGACCACTCTTTAAAGATGCAGTGCCATCGTCCATCACCAACCTCTTCAAAGAACACTGCTTAGCACATTTGCTACAAGGATTTGATTGGTCGAAGTGGTGCCTGATAAAGCCTCAAGGAGCCTGGCCTTCGACCAACGCGAACCGGGTGGCCTGGGTAGTACGGATGGAAAAATTCTTTGGTAAAGAATGATAGGTTCTCGACATCCACGACACCATTAAGCTTTCGACCATGGAGATTGCCATGGATAAAGAACTCCTTATGGCAGCTCTAAGCCTCTAGTGCTCGGCCACCAACACCATGATCATTCCTTTCGGCCTTATCACCCCCACCATCATCGACATCTCAACTATCCTAGGGACTTCTCCTTCTGGCATTCCACTAGATGCCGCCCTTATTGGATGCCAGTCGAACCTCGACCTCAAGGTACTATTCGACGAACGGGCCGTCGAGATGTTGAGCCAAGAAGGTCAAGAGCCTTCAAAGAGGAAGTTCAGAAGTTGCACAAGAATTTTCTCAACTACAACACCCTCATCTTCCATTTTGCTGACCGAGGGGAAGCGAGTCTACGGAGGGGAGAACACGAGGCATTCCTATTTTACTGGTACAACAAGTTTATCTGTTGTACCAAGTCAAATAAGTGTTTGGTCAAAAATATGCTGGTGGCTGAAGCCCTGGCTAGTGGTCATTCTCTGGCGCTCAATCCAGCTATCCTTGCTAACCTTCTGCGCTACCTG